GTGTGAGTTTTTTTCCTGTGTGAATTCTGTAATAATTGACAGTAGAAAAACATATATCTAGAAAAACAAGAAACGGCGCGTTTGAGATTAGCAAGCAGCAAATAGGAATTAGCTAGCGCCAATGATGATTATACATCAGCCCAAAGGCCCAATATACATATATGTTTGAGATTTGAGCTCACAAGGCTGGTAGCGAGCAGCCCACGAGTCCACAATTTCTCCTATTGTATCGTTTCCTCGGAGTGTTTTGCCCAGCACCGCCGCACGTCTTGACTTTTCATCTTGTCGTCCTCTAGTCGAGCACATGCACATTGCCACCACATCCAGATTCCAGGAGGCAGAGGTATGGAGCGACAAGGGCGAGGATCGGCAGACAACATGAGGGCAATTGGAAGGTCGAGCTGCCGAGGGGGTGAGCTACCGATCTGCAATGTTCTTTGCCTCGCACTGATGGCGAGTTGTTGGGTAACCGATTAACCCTATCACAATTTCTAGATTATCACAATTTGAAAGTTAGGGTTATGAAATATGAATTTTTTTTATTCCTTTATACTTCAGTTAAATGGTCATCACTCATGTGCAAGGAGGAGAATTAAAACACAATTTTGTTCTTTCCAGCAGAGGGGAATATAGAAAATCCATGATTTTGGTAATCTTAGCGGTGAGTATTTGTGTGTTTAATATCTACTTTGTTTACATATTAATTATGTCCGATTTTAATAATTTATAGACATGTCTGTGCATTGCAACGAGAGATTTAATTTTCTATGGGCCAATGAGTAGCACTATTTAGTTTTTAGTTTTTTGTGGGGTCTGGTTTTTTCCATTTTTATTTTGTTTCTTTTGTTTTTTATGAGGGGCGTGCGATGCGCATGATGTAGGTGAGAAGGGTGGATGATAAATTCTGTTTTTATGTAGTAGAGATATTATGTAGTAGAGATAAATAGGCAAGCAAAAACATTCTGGAGCCATTCTTGAAAAGAAAAATACACCTATTTTAGAAGATCTAAAAATGCATCAAAAACTAGGTTAGTATTGACCCTGTCGACCATTTATCCTGGCTTCGCCCTAGCCATTAATTCATCTTCCAATCCACACGAGCTTATTAGGGAGCGCCATGGGATCCAGACATCTCCTTCCTGTTGTTGGCGTTTCCCTCCACCTCCCGGTTGATAGTATGGTGGAACACAGGCACGTCTTCCGCCACAGCCGCCAACACCAGTCCTCACGCAGGATCCAGACATGCCTAGCTTGGAGAGCCAGATCTAGCGGCCGCGAGCTCGGAGGCGCCAGATCTATGGCAGACTAGCGATGAGGATGGGGCTACAAGGGGCTACCTGGGAGACGACGAGCTTCATCTTCCTCCGCACGAGACAACGTGCTTGCATGCATGTCCCGACGAGCCCACGCCGCTTTCGCCACCGGCGTCGTCTTCCCCGATTCACCTCCCCTCCCTGAACTTCCCCACCACTACCTTTGATTGACTCACAAGGTAATGATGACCTAACCTTCATTTGTTCATTGTTTACTATTCACAGTATGGTGTTAAGCACTAAAACACATCCAATTAAGGTTTTTCACATCCGGAAGTTTGATTTTGAGAACACCATGCAAACGTGGGTAGCGATACTGACATGGAAATTAGGCCATATAGTGAATAAAGTTTCCCATTTGCCCAGATTGATTTGATGATTAATTAGAAGCCTGTATTTTTAAGGTACTATTTGTTCATATCACGGTGATCAAGGCAAAATTGATCTGAATATAGTAGTAGCATAATGACGATCCGATGCATAAAATAGAAAAAAAAAACTAAATGATTGCATAATGTTGAATGTATAAGTGAAACAAGTCATATTGAAACTTTTTCAAGTCTTCGAGAGACCACATAATTTTGCTACGCAATAGTGTCTTGCCACATAATTTTCAATGAAAAGCAATAGTGTTTTGGATGTCAACTTTGCTACGCATTTACGCAAGTGAGACCATGTCATTTTGCCTGTCCAATTTAAAAGTTGGTAAACTCTTTGAGTTAACAGCAAATTGACCTTTTAAACTGTATAATTCCTTCTACGTTTTGTTCTGTAGTTTCTTAATCATTTGCATAATCTTTGCTATTACTGTAATCTAGGAATCAGTACAGTAGTTGTAAATTAGCCTTTAAAATCGGTTGCCCATAGAATCTCTCTAATGCTGATATATTACAGATTCACCATGCTTTTATGCTTATTGGCTACTACATGATAATTGGATAATCCTTGACAATGTAGGCAAGTCGTATGGTTATTATTATTTGCTTATTGGCTTTATGATGAACACAAGTTGCACAACCATAACAAGAAAATGTGATGCTATCTGATGGCACTGTTACTGTCCAATACAGTACACTCTACTACCAAAGATTCTTCCCATACTATGTTTTCAGTGGACAGTGAAGGTACGATCATACTTCTTTAACCCTTGCACGATCATCAGGATGAATTTATGATCATGCCCTGTGAATATCCTCTTTCGCGGGTACAGGATGCGTCTTCACATATGACGTGGTTGAGGCTTATGAATGGACAGGTTATAGAGCTTTTAGGGAACACATGAATCTTTTTTATGATGCCTGTTCAGGACAATTCAAATCTCCTAGCGCTCTACTACTTCTAGCACAGGCGATTACTACAAATTTCAGTTACTGCATGATTTGCTAGATGTATTTTATGACAACAGAGTAAACAATGTGATATACATTATTTTCGTTTTGTTGCAATATGTTTTTTTTTCTGAGGAATAAGAGATTTAATTCCCTGCTATTATGCTGGATGCAGCATGGTCTGAATCAAATGCTTTGGACCTTGCAATGGGCATTTTTGCATCAGCCACAAAATGTTGTACTCCCTCCGTCCCAGAAAAAGTCGAATTCTGGAGGGGGGAATTTGTCCCACAAAAACTCGACTCCTGTGCAAAAAAAACAAGAACGTCATCTCGGATGGGCCCACGACCTCTCTCTCCCCACGTTCCCACCGCTTGAACCTTATCCCCTCCCTCACGGCTCTCTTCTTTTCTCCGTCTCTCTCACTCCTCTCTCGCGAGTTCACACAGATCCAAAATCCCCATCGATTCTGTTCGTCTCCAAAAGCGAGGCACTACCGATCTCCCCCCTCCGGTCTCCCTCCCTGCTTCGCCCCTCTCTCCCGCACCTCCCTCCCTATTCCATGCCGCTCCCCTTCGTTCCTGCTTCTCCCACCTCTCCTCCTTCTTTGCGTCCACCAGGCTACGGCCACAAGGATGCAGGGACGGAGTGTTGCGAGCGGAGCGGATGCGGCTCGGATTGACGGTGAAGGCGAGGGGGTATGCTGTTGTGTTGTTGGAGAAGGCGGAAGCGACGGGGAGATGGGCGTCGGCGGCGGTGGAGGCGACGAGCGGCCACGGTGTCAACGACGGGGTCTTCTATCATGTGCGGTGGATCTGATGCAGTTCTCCATGCACGAGCCAGCAAACAACGCCACATTTCGTTTTTTCTAAGCTTTGGGTTCTTGCTATGTTCCTCCTATTTCTAGTAGTACTAGTTCTTACGGTGCTATTGCTAGTACTAGCAGTTCGTACAGGTGAATTCAGAGAATTTCTTTTCTCAATTGGAGAGATGTTCTAGTATCTCTTTTTCTTTGTTCTTGGTTCTTCATGTTCTTGGTACTCCTACTTGCTGCGTGTGGTGCGTTGTGCTGGGATGCAGTTAGTTACGGAGGGATCGAGGGAATCTCCTTGCCTATTGTTGCTTTTTTTATTTGAAAGATGAATTGAATGTTGTACTTGTGCAAGGGTATTTTGGTCTTCAACAGCTATCGCTAAAGTTGCCTCGGGCATCCAGGAATCGGCATTTTCTGGAACGGAGGGAGTAGCTCCCTAGATGCTCACGGCTGATTACTGGTGGGGTGGCTAGCAGTTCACACAGAGAGTACATTTAGCCAAAGGAGTAATCCGGGATTCTAGCTAGCAAGTATCACCTTTTATTTTTTTGCAATACTTATAAAAAAAGTACAATATCATAATCAATTATTCATATTATTACACATCCTGCTATAAAGGGCTTACATGTGGGCATACAAAGTCGCGCGTGGAGTGTATAAAGTGAATTGCCCGCCTTTCCCTATCAGCTTAGGCTTTTAGGTGCAACTGGCTGGTGCATGCAACTTAATATGGTATCAGAGCCAGAGGTCTCGAGTTCGAATCCTAGCTAAAATAATTGCAGCCCACTCCAATATTCCACGCTTGAGACTTGAGTGGGTCTCGCGTGAGGGGGAGTGTTGAAGTGTATAAAGTGAATTGCCCGCCTTTCCCTATTAGCTTAGGCTTTTAGGTGCAACTGGCTAGTGCGCAACTTAATACCACTTGGCTAGTATCACCTAATCGTAAATGATGAGGTAGAGAAGAGAAGAGAGGATGAGTCATCCCTCATGGAAGGGGGCAACATCTTCACAAACTTTAATAAAAGAAAGAGAAAACGAGTAATGTATCACCTAATCGTAAATGATGAGGTAGAGAAGAGAAGAGAGGATGAGTCATCCCTCATGGAAGGGGGCAACATCTTCACAAACTTTAATAAAAGAAAGAGAAAACGAGTAATATATCACCTAATCGTAAATGATGAGGTAGAGAAGAGAAGAGAGGATGAGTCATCCCTCATGGAAGGGGGCAACATCTTCACAAACTTTAATAAAAGAAAGAGAAAAAGAGTAATGTTGATTGGGTGAGTAGATAACATAAATAGTTACTATGTTGCATTGGGGCTAGTATATTAGAGAGGTGATTTGTTGAATAAGCTGCCCCCTTGTAAATTAGTTGATGATGTAGATATGTGGATAATATTAGATGTGGCAATCACCTCTACTATAAAATTTACCCTTACCAAGCCAATCCAAATTGTGTTTTTCGCCAACAACAACAATAAATTACAACCTAGATATAACTGCATTTTCGGACAGAGGAGTATTTAAAGGCACAAATTAGTAAAATCACAAAATTCTCTTAGATCATTATATACATTTTAACAGTAAAGAATAATGAATGTATTTCAGATATGTATATAAGAATTGGCAATCGCTAACCACTAGCATGAGGCGTGAGGCTAACCATTCAAGCATAAGGCAGCATGCAAAGTGCAACCTCAAAGCATTGCCTCATTTTCATCATGAAAGTACTACTTCCATTTTCAGCACCAGTCATGTTTTCTGCTTATTTCAACGATTTCACCATTGAATGATTGATTTCACCATTGTGTTATATAATCAGTTAATTAACAATTTTTATGCACAAAAATAATATTCCCCGACAACAGAAAGAGTAAGCCGAAATCATGCCCTTACTCTAGGAGTTTAAAAAAATCAGAAAAGTTTACTACAAAAAAGATTAATACATAACAAAAGATTAATGCCACTGCAAACGGTTTATTACTTATGAACTCATGGTGTTAATCCAATTAGCATTCATAGCAATCTGCAGCATGAGCACACTGGTACTAATTGTGTGCACCTAGAAGGTCCTGTGACAAAAGGCACAGTAGCTGATTGCACTTACATATCTCATACTGCATTTTCTTAAATATGAAGTGTTCCTGGAGTTTAGTGAATATGGTAAAGTACTCATAAGAATATCCTAATCCAAGGGTATGTATTATGTATCAAATTGCTAAATTTTCTTTTCTAACTCAGATTTTGAATGTAGGCATGCATCTTAGTGGAAATCCACTGTTGTCATACAGGTTATGAAGCCCTCATCCATAGTTTAAATACTTAATCCTTTTCATTCTGGAAGCTAAAAGTGTTAAGGATCATCTAATGACAGCAACAGCTGCATAAGTTCCATTACAAGTGTTTTTAAATCAGCCTATGTAAAGCACTTAACATGGAAGCTCACACCCTCTATGTGCAGATTGTAGTGGTTGATTCTATCGAGCTAATTAATAAGCAATTGTAGACCTCCAGTATCCATAAAATCTGGAATCCGACGAAAAACTGTTCTGACGGGTCCATAGCAACCAAATTAATTTGGAATTATACCAAGCAGTAGAAGTTCGCCAGTAAACACGAATTTCCTATATTGCAATGGATTATTTCTAATGTTTAATAGTTCTTCCTGGATTGCATCACAACCAAATGAAAGAGCTTGGCATTTCTGAAATCTGCATCTTCCGTCAATGATTAATGCAATTAGTTAGGTTCCTTAATTTTTATTTCTGGTATGAACTGTTTGGTTGATTTAGGTGCATGCCCATTTTTATCTATATTTTAGTGGTTGTAAATTTATAACCTGGAAAAGTTTTACCCCGATGCATGAGATTGTACATACTAAATTCTTCATAAAAGAATTTATTGTTGGCAAATATGTGGCCGAAAGGCAATAACCACTTCCTGTGAAGAGAGAAGTCCGAGAAACAGTGGCAGTTCACCACCAGCCGCAACCGATAATTTAAACCATTGTAAATTAACATTCTGACCATAAAGAACTAAAAATCGAGACCAGTTTAAAAGTATAATCATATAATTAATTTTAATTCTAGCAACTAACAGAAAACTTGCTAAAAAAATTGTACAGTTGACATTTCAATACAACTTATTTAAATAAATGGTCTTTTTTGTAAAATTAAAAAAATACATACTAGATTTCCTGCTAAATATGTTCTCTGAACATCTATTCAAATTCAAGTGAAGAATAAACAAATTATCTTATAAAAGGAGGAAATACTAATTTAAATTATTAAATGTTATTAACAAATTAAGTTAATTATTATACATATTTACAGAGAGGGAGGTTATAGTCGCACAAACACACGACACAATACACTAGTTACATATATGAACGAACATGCAAACCTCAAGGCCCAATTCACAGGCTTTCTTTGCGACTAGGCCAGCACCAATTATAACGCTGGGATTTGATGTGTTTGTGTAACTGCATATTGCTGCAAGAACAACACTGTTTGATTTCAGCAGGTTGTCCTTGAAAGTAAAATTTCACAACTTTATCATGGTACTCCGTTGGGACTGCAAAACCCTAGTGTGTTTTTTGGGGTGTATTTTGATGAGCAATGCCACTACATTTTAAACTTTATAATGCAAAGGTTATCCTTAGTTACCTTGAAATTGCTGTCCAGGCAAGCATGCCAATCTGATTTCATTTCCTTCAAAGGGACACGGTCATGAGGACTACAGAATGATAAATAAAAAAGCTCAGCATAATTAATGCACCTTCCGCATTAGCAGAAATATTGTGTGTCCAGTGAGAAAAAAGTAATTACGACAGATACCTCTTTGGGCCTGAAATGCAAGGCTCCACATCTGTAAAGTTGAGCTCAAGTTATGAAGAATAAACTCGTTTCATGGTTAGTGCGTATAAATGAACAATAAATTGTTACCGTCAAACAATAGCATATGTCCAATTTATTAAAGTGATGCTTCAACACTCGCCACAACGAAAAGCAACTCAGCTCTATCTTGGATCACTAGAAGTTGTGATAAAACTCACCTTAACAAAAAATGAAGTGACTTCTCAAAATTCTCTAATCGGAACTAGACTCTCAGCATAATTAAATAGATGCATATCCGTTACTTCTTTCTCCAGATATGCCCAGTACTTATTGTTCCTTGGATCATAGCACGTGAAGTCTTCAACCCCTGAAGCTATCTTTTCCATTCTACAGGTTTGAATGTCATACTGGTAGACCTGATTCCATGTCAGTAGCAGCTTTTTTCCATGAAGAAAAACTATAGGAGGCCTTGCTACAGGATTATTCACAACTATATCAGGTGGAATCTGTACAGTGCAGCGCTGAGTCCATTCAGGGTTCTGTGCATAATTGCAGGTCCAGATCTTCAACGCGCTCACCTGACTGCAAAAGCAAGCACAGCATAGTTCACCCTCCACTTCTATGAAACGGGTAGGCTTTAGATTACATGGAGGATACTGAAGCAGACTAAACTTCTCGTTAGTCAAACAGAACCTAAGAAATGCATTGGGTGGATCAGGGCAAAGTGGCGTATTAACCATCCAGTAGATGGCGCCTTTCACATGAACAGGAGTTAACCCACTAATTGGATATGGCGGATCCTCAGTTTGCCTCCACAAATTAGTGCCTAGAGTAAGCACTTCAAACTTGCAGACCAATTCTGATGTGTCATCGTCCCTCTGGTAGAAAAATCTAGCCACCTTATACTTGTTGCTGTGAGGGTCAAACCCAAATCCAGCCCTTGGGCCCGCATGAAGGTTATAACTCCCTTTTGGCAGGGAGACAATCTCTCTAGTTGATGGGTTGCAGACAATCATTTCGTGGTTCATGGTGGAAATGAGGAGCATGCCATTGCAGTGGATCGGACGACTCCATGTACCAATGCCTTGTGGAAAGTCTTGTACATGGATTTGTTCCATTATATTACCACCCTGATACTGATAGAGGCCCATCAGGAAGGAAGTATTCTCGCCATTATTCTGCTTCTCGTAAACACCAGGGACCATAAATATCGATGGCTTCTGCTTAGAGCACTCGAGGTGAGCACTGATGAAACAGGGGTTGGATATTATGGCGTGCCAAGCCTTACACACGGACTTAAATCGGATAAGAGATTTGGATGGCAGCCGTAACAGAATGTCGAAGATCACATCGTCAGGGATGTAAGGGGGCAAGAACCTTGACCAAGACTTAATAGCAATCCGCATCATCTTTCCCGGCCTAGCAGATATCGGCACTTCTGCGCATCTTTTCACTGCCATGACAAAAAATTCTCAAGCTGCAGGAGAAGAGGATGTGATTATGGGTTTAAACCTATGCACAAAGTCATTATATGAGGGAGTATTCGCTATGCAAATCGAATTATGCAGACTTAAAAGTCCGATTCGGACTAGTATGAATTAAATCCGATTCGATTTTCAACAAAATAATCCGGTTCGGCATGTCAGGGAGCGGCAGTTTGACCACATAAATTTTCTTTTGATTCCGGCAAGAAAGGGTTTGTACAGAAAACTAGTTTGCAGAGGAACTGCTAGCAAGAAACAACCTAAAGGCTCCAAAGCTACCAACTTTAGAAAAGGGGATCCAAATCTTGTTGAGGCAGACATGAATTTTAACCCAAAATTAAATAAATCATGTTGAGGCAGACACGAAATTAACCCAAAATTACCAAAGAAAAAGCATACATTTAAAGTTTGGACCTAAAATTATCAGAGAACTCACCGGCTGCACGGACTGCCGTGTTGGCCGCTTCCACCTTCAGCTCCGGCGACTGCGGATCGCCGACGGCAGACCGTCGTCTTGTATCCCGCCAAGCTGTACAGCCAGAAGCTTTCTGGTTGAGAAGACGATGGCCGCCTATGGAGTGGAGCAAACCGCCAGGCGCCCAGGCGACGGTGGGAGATCGGAAGAAGGAAGGAGTTTGGGGGAACTCGGGAGGAAGAAGTAAATGTTCCTTTGCTGTTGCCTTATCCAAACTCTGGATAGGCATCACTTGCAGTATGAATAGCGACTGCAAGATGCAAGTTAACCTACTGCACGCGATTACAGCTATTCATTTTGGTGATGAATGAATGGATCAGCTATAGTGTTGACACAAAAATACTGGATATTTCTTGCTACAGTGATATACAGTATCCGGTGCATATGGACCGTCGGATTCGGATCTAACAGGTGGTAATGGACTGCATAAGTTGCAGCCATAGTACCAACTGCACCTGATCCAAATCCACAAACTCTGTTGTGCGCCTGTGCTGTGGACCGAGCAGGTTTACAAAACCGTATAATTACAATGCGGTTGTCAGATTTTGAAATCATATTATCACCATTAAACTATAGGGTAACGATAACCTCACCATAAAACGATCCCATATTATCACCATTAAACTATAGGGTAACGATAACCCCACCATAAAACGATCCCAGAATGAGGCCAAAGTTATTACTAGCCTACGCATGATGGGCCATATCACCACCCCAATTCGGCCCGTTTCCGTTGGCGAGTTCCTTCCTTTTTGTTGTCCTTTTTTATTGGAATAAGTTCACTTTAGGTCCGTTAACTTGTTGCCGAGCCTGAAATTCATTCCTAAACCGAAATACCGGATATAACGGGCCTCTCAGTTCATAAAACCGGATCAACCGAGATCCTAAAGGTGGTCTAGTACGCAATCGATCGCGCAACCCCCTGCGCTCGATCGCTCAACACTACCGTTTCCTTTTTTGGTCTGCTTGTGCGATTTTTCCTTTTCTCCATAGGAATAAGTCTATTTTGCTTCCCTCATGTCATGCCCCTGGTTGAATCGCATCCCTCAAACGCAAAACCAGGTATAACATGTCCCCTAACTCCTAAAACCGTTGCAAATCAACTACCCAGTCGGTTTCGAATGCGGTTTTATCCTACGTGGCATCTTTGACCTGTTGACTGGCTGATACATCATGTGGGACTTACATGTCAGCCAGCCTGCTGCTTGTGTTGCAGGGGCAACAGGTGGCCTTCTCCTCCTCGTCATCGTTCTCACCGATGCCGAGCTCCTCAGGGATGCCCAACTCGAGCAGTGTCGAGCTGGACCCCTCCACGGGAGCGCCCATGTCGGACGCCTCTACGTTGAGCATCGACAACTCCAGAGCCACCCAGGACCTACTTGAGATCATCTACCGCATTATCCATGGCCACTGGCGATGAATACTAGAGGTCCTCCCCCGTGCGTTGCCCGACCGACCAGCGAGGTCCTCCCCCGCAGCTGCCCAGCCGACCAGCGAAGTCCTCCCCTGCGCGTGGCACGGCTGGCCAGCAAGGTCCTCCCCCACGCGCGGCCCGTCGACGAGGTCCTCCCTACACGTGGCATGGCCAACGACGTCCTCTGTACTAATGCAAAACGAGAGAAGGGGAAGAGATGAGAGAGAGATGAGGTGGAGGCTTGCTGGCAAGTGGGTCCCACCTTTGACTTAGTGAGTCAACTGTCATGTAAGACGAAACTGCTCAGGAGTCTTTTTGCAATGGTTTTGGAAATTAGGGGATGAGTTATATCCGGTTTTACGGTTGAGGGATGTGATTCAACTAGGGGCATAAGTTGAGGAATGAAGAATAGACTTATTCCTTTCTCCATACGGTGTTAGCTTGTGGGCTGCATGTGGTAGGCCTTCTGGCCCATGTATTGTGGTCCGTGTGTTTGTTAGTCTTTTGGTCTACATGCTAGTTGATATTTATGCAACCCATCTCTATGCATGAATAAACTTTGCGCATATAAACTTTCTACTCCCTCCATCCCATAATATAAGGGATTTTAAGTTTTTTTTTTTGCACTGTTTGACCACTCGGCTTATTAAAAAAATTTTGGAATTATTTTTTTTGACTTAGTTTATTATTTAAAGTACTTTAAGCACAACTTTTCGTTTTTTCTATTTGTTTTTTCTATTTGCATAAATTCTTTGAATAAGACGAGTGGTCAAAGAGTTATTATGGGACGGATGGAGTACATAGAAATATATTTTGTATTCTATATAGGAATTTTATACATAGAAGCCTATAAAGTTTATGTCAGGGTTATGGATACCACATACCTAATAGTAGTTGACTAAATCTCGGCAGGACCCACCACATATCATGTCTTATACGGAAACAACCTTCGGATATAGAAGGAGTTCCACATAAGGAAGGATAAATAGAGTTCTACATGGGAACGACAAGGACTACTCAGATTGTATCCATATTGATTTTCCTAGTTCTACTTGGACAAGGGGACACCTATGGGTATAAATACAAGACCCCCTAGGAGGAGAGGGGACACGGACAACATAGACGCCACAAAGCCACAAGCCAATACAAGCCTACATACGCCAAGACAAGCTGCCAGATATCGACATCGGAGTTAAGCCTAGTAAAACCCCATATGGTACCTACGGGAACCAAAGAGAGGAATCTAGCGCTCTCTCTGATCTCGCCGGGCATGGATTCGAGGAGGAAGATTACTTTGTTGTCGACTACGCGATGATACTTTAGTCCGCTATGTCGATAACAGTTAGATAGGCTACCCCAAATATTATACTGGTGTGATTATGGTGAATAAGAGCAACGACCGGCTTCGGCCAACAGGATGTAGGGCTATTACCTGACAATTCAGGGGCCCGAATCTGTATAAAAATCTCTGTCTCCATCTGTATATATTTTTTCATCATAAAAATAAAAAGAAAATTATCAGATTTAAAAAGTAAAAAAATCAAATTGGGTCGGCCTTGCTAGCCCTTTAAGGTCCAACCTAGAGATGTCACACACACGCCGTGTTTCAGAAACTAATGGCGTGCAAAAAAAAAACGCAAAAAGAAACAGAAGCGTTGAAGCTGGAAACAGAAATCGGGCGCGGTTGTAAAAACAGAAACTTCGATCTATTTTTTTAATAATGAAATATAGTATTCCGACCTTTGCTAAAAAGTGCTACAGCCAATTATTACATAATAATAGCATTCGAGAAAGATGTGAATCTAAACAAATAGAACACACCATAAAAGAAAACGGATAAACCAAACTAACAATGGGAGAATACATTTATTATAGTCTATTTGTGAATCTCTATGCATAATTGGCAAAAAGTTACATAACCGTAGTCTCCAGCTTATGATATGCAACTTTCAGAAAATCTTTATCTTCGTCACACCTTTATAGCCGTGCCTTCGATCTGATCGTGATCCGATCCCGCACGCGAATAGCTAAATATCCTTTTCACACAAAACAGCCATCTTCGTCGGCATCGAGAGATGGGCAATCATCCTAGTGGGCTAGTGGAGTATTACTATTCCCCTCTCAAAGTAAATTCATTTTTCACTCATCCCACACATAATAACACAAAAAAAACTAAAACATCTTGACTTTATCGAATCCCAATATAAATTTTCCCCATTTTATTTTTTCCAACAAATTTATAACCTAATTTTACAAACTCTACTGTTATGATAAAAAATAAATTTATTTTAGGATAACCGAGATGGATCAAAAACTTGTTTTAGAAAAAAAATGAAAAGATTCAGAATGAGCTTATTTAGGACAAAGGAGGTACTGCCAAAAGGACGTCAAGGATCTATTTGGCTAATTTTACCGTCTTTTGGCTCTCTACAGCGCAGACAAGCCCAGTTTGTTTTTAACGAAGATGAAGATAAAAAAAATCATTTGGTTTATAATTAATTAAATTTTAAATTATTTTAAATTTAAAAATAGCTTTATTTGTATTTTAAATCAACTTTTATATATAAAAGGTTTTTCACACAAAACATATCGTTTAACAATTTAAAAATGATGCTGACTAAAACTGACATAAAATCTTTATGTTGATCAGAAAAGCGAACGAGGCCGCGATATCATCAACATAACACACCCACGGAATCCGTGGTTACCGTGCTATGCCTGGTAAAAAAATTTCAAACATTTTTTTAAAAAAAATTATGAGCGTGTTAGAAATTAAATAAAACTATATCCCTTACCACTGCACTGTATCACGTGTATCTCTGCTCAAGAACTACTGAATGCTGAACCACCCGCACAATCCAAACGGCCCGACAGAGAGGTGTAAATGTTCTCCAGCATCTTGAAGGGCTTTGCAGAGAAGCCAAATAGTAGTAGTAGATCCAGTGTACTCGAGACAAGTCAAGTTTCTATTCACAACAGTACAACACCGGTCGGACTCGGACCACCAGCCACCGTGCGCCCCTCCGACTCCGACGCCGCCAGAACGAACGGGTTTTACTGTCCACCGCGCCACGCCGCCTCGCCGCCGCCCTTGTCATCGTCGAACACCACCCACTCCGCCGCCGCCGCCGCTGTCGTCGTACTTCGAGTTCCCGAACGTTGACGACGCCGAGCGAGCGGCAGAGCTCGAAGTACGACGACAGCTGCGCGCTCTTCTCCGCCGCCTTCCGGAGCACCTTTATCCCCGCCGCGGCGGTCGATTTGGTTTGTCGTGGTCTCGTCGTCGGCGCGGGCACGCCGACGAGGAACCGCGCGACGCCGGTGCATATCTCGCCGTAGACTTGGAGGATTTCGATGAGGGCGCAGTCCATGGCTTCCAGGACGAGGGGCACCTCCATGCCGTCGCAGTACGGGCGGATTTGGAGAAGCAGCTCGAGCAGGAACTGCAGCTTCGTTATTCTCTCGAGGCGGGCGACGCAGTGGTCGTCGCCGTCGCCGGCGATGTCTTCTTCCGCCGCGAGGAGGGAGCGGTAGTTGAGGAAGCGGAAGTAGGCGCGGACGAACGCGGAGAAGGCGGGTGACTTGCCCCGCGGCGCCGAGCGGTCGCGGAAGTCGGCGAGCTCGAAGGGGACGCTCCCGACGCGGGCGGCGCGCGCGCGGCGAGACGCCGGAGCGGAGGAGCATGCCGTGCGCGAGCATCAGGGCCTTGAGCGCCACGGCCCAGCACCGCGTCCGCCGTGCGCGCCGCCCGAGCGCCCACACGGTGGGCCGCACCAGCGACGGCGAGGTCCGCGCCCACCGGAACACCAGCCCGGCGCTCCGGTAGTCCACCCACCGCTCGTCGTGGCTCGTCGCGCGGATCACCGCGCGCCAGGAGCACGCTCCTCCGGTCCTTCACGGCCGCGGCCACCCGGCGCCACCACTGCCTGAACGACCCCATCGCCGCCGCCGCCGCCGCGCCCGCCGCCTGACGCCACCGGCGGCCTCCCTCGACGGACGGAAACGTCAATGACAGAACGGCGGCCAGCAGCTACTGGCCATGGCCGCGCCCTAACTCAATCCGACCATATCTGCAGAATCTGCAGACACGAAACCCACATCGCACCTTGTGATCTTCACAAAAATGCGTGACAGGAAACTAGGAAAGAGCAATAACCGGCATGCATGCATGATGCATCCATGCATGGCAATCCAAGAACAGGGACGTGAAAGAAAAAAAAAAAGGTGATCGTCAACAGCAGCCAGGTCAAGAATTTTCTAGCATTTGCAAGGCCACGAGCAATCCATGGAGTTTTTAGCAGAATCCTGCAGGACATTGATTTGCTAAATACAGAAAACTTACGAGTTCCAGCCGGCCGGACAGTCTGTACTCTGTAATAACTCTGTATCAACACAGTTCAACACTTGGATGATCATGTGTTGTAGCTGTCGATTTTTGGCAGCGTCGTCTTATTATGCAGAGTTCTGAAAAGGGAAGAGGTGGGGTGAGACAATGGGACGGGAGACATATGTCGCAAGTTGAGCGTACGTACTTCCTCTCTCCCAAAACAAATTTAATCTAGAAAAAAATATAACCCTTTTAATATAACGAATCTAGACGGAAATATAAGGGTCACATCTTCATCTAAATTAAGTTTTTTTTAAAAAAACGGAGTAGAGACGAGCAACGGCCGGAAACCAACGCCTGATGCTCTGAATTCATTGCGGTCGATACGACGCGGACGCGCAGAGAAGTTGGTATTGAACTGCTCCACCACAACAGTGTACAGGAGATTGGTCGATCGCGAATTCGCGATCGGTGACTCGACGGACGGACAACGCCATGAGACCAGACTACGGGAGCAAAGCTTGCGGACGAGGAGCCGAGGAGGACCTCCCGACCGGCCGGGCCCCGGCCCAGTTTCAGATTCACCGCCTGGAAAAAGGTTTTGTGTTTTGCTGGCCGTAGAGACATCGGTACTGGTAGGTGTATGGCTGATGATCATGATGCACGCCGGGAGAAGATATTTTTTTTCCCTCGGTCCCTCTTATTTAAAATAGATCTCATACGGATTTTTGAATTCAAAACATGCTGTGTTGAACACGAGCGGCTGAACATTCTGCAACGCCATCCCCGGCCTACAGTCAAAGAATATTGGGTGTTGAACTCAAGTCATAAGGTAAAGGAAGAAGATAGGAGGGAATATTTAGGGACTACCTACCTATACAACTTTCAACAGAAAATCGCTCTAAAATCTTTCAAATGTAACTAGTAATTACAATGTAGTTACATTATAATTTGTATGCAAGTGTTATGTAAGTGACTAGCTAGGTTCACACAAATGGGTGCTAGTAGCTCACTTGGTCTGTTGCAGTGCGCATGGGAGGATGTATCTCGCGCGTTTGAACCACAATGCACCTGTATAAAGTCAGTTTTTTTTTTAATTCCTCATTCCACACATGAATCTTAAAGCATACCAAAATTCAAAACATTTAATCTCTTATTTTTTGTCACAAGATATATAGAGAAACCGAATATATATATATATATATATATATATATATATATATATATATATATATATATATATATATATATATATATATATATATATATATATATCAACTTATATATGCCGGTCCCCATAATAATATTTTTCTAAAAAAAACCACTTTTGACGATTCATAAGTTGCTTATTCCTATGATCCGTGCTTACTAACATATCCCTTCTTCCGTTCAACCCCAATGGCACATCAACCTGCCACACACAGTTTGTCATTGGCATCTTTATTTCGTGACCGTAGGTAGTATTATTCATGTAAATGGAAAGACGCATATATATTATCTCCAATTTTAATAGATGACACCACTGACTCTTGGATACACTTTTGATCGTCTATCTTATTAAAAAGTTTACGTAACTATCATTTATTCTGTTATATGACTTGATTTATCATTAAAGGTAGGTGCTTTAAACATGATTTATACTTTTATATATTTACAGAAAAAATTAATAAGATGAACGGTTAAATATGATGTTTAAAAGTCATCAACATCATCTATTAAGAAAGTAGTATTTCTCATGTATTATATCTCCCATAGTTAAAAGAGAAGGAAAACAAGTGTCATCCTCTCAAATATGGGGGTGCACGTACCTCAACCTTGCAGAGGAAGTTGCGATCCTAAAAGAAGATGCAAGCAGTGTATCACCAATCATAGTACTGTTTTGTAGGGAGTGGATTCTAATCCCTCGAGGGGATATCCCCTTGTATACCTTTTTCTTCCAAATTAGATGCAAATAGTTGTGAAAAAATCTGAAAAAAATTGACAATGTAGAGTATAATGATACCTACTAGTCCACCAAAATTCATGTTCAAATTCGATCTACACATCGAGAAACAAAAAAGACAAATTTAGATATAAACAGTACGCTACTATTCATATGCTGAATTTGTCTTTTTTATATCTCGACGTGTGAGTTGAGTTTGGACTTAAGATTTTGTGAAGTTGTATATATGTATTGTATGAATGTTGTCAAATTTTTCCAGAATTTTTCATAACCGTTTAGATGGTTTTTGAGCAAACGAGAGAACATCCCCTCGAGGGATTAGAATAGTTTCCCCTGTTTTGTAAGTCAATTACAAATTAACTAAGATCGAACAGCCAAACAGGAGGAGAGAACACAACCTAACATAACAGTATGGCAACAATCATGTCAGATCGATGGGTCGATCGATCGATCGATCGGCTTTTAGCTTTACAACATAACACCTACATCAATGACAGCACTGTAGCCATATTAAACAACGGTCGATAGACAGAGGGCGCATATTCTCGATCGGTAGTGCAGCGCCAGTGCATATCACATGCAGCACATTCGCGGATGCGGCGCGGGCGCATGCATAGATCAGCTTTCTTCCAGCTCCACCACACCATCTATGATCCCTCGATTCCTAGCTATAGCTTGAGCTAACTACAAACCTCTGCTTTAGGCTTTAGAGCTCATGTATAAGTATATATCTTAGCTGCAGCAGCATTCGCATGCATCACAAGCCACACACTGCACGCACAACTCGATTCAGAGGCATCTTATCTGATCGAGATCAGCAGCTCACTCACTCGCTGCATCCGCACGCACGCCTCGGTTCTGCTTCTGCATGCTTGTGCCATTCACCTGGTCTCTACCAGTCTACCTCTCGATCTGCACCCCTCTAGCGATAGTGGCAAACTTGATCACTTTGATCACCTTTCACTCTCTCACAAGGGACGTACGAGTAGTAGTACGTGCGACGCAGGCAGGAGCAGTAGGAGCAGTAAATATCGCTTTCTGCATATCTTTCAGTGCTAGGCATGAGATGAGACGGTGTTGGTGGGTTCAGAGCAGACATGGCCAGCAGCAGCAGCAGAGGGGCTACACTACTGATCTGGCCGATGATCGAGGCAGCAGCAGCAGCAGACAACCGGAGACCCGGCCATGGTTGCACTGAAAACCACGCAGTACTCGTCCTCCATCTGTTTCACCGCTCATTACTGTAGCAGCAGCAGCTACCGCTTGTTTCGGCAGGGGCCGAGAGAGGCTGAGAGCGTTGTGTTTGTGCGTGTTGTTTTGGACTGCTTGCGCCATTGCTGACCGGTCACAGTACATGGCTGGGAGCTTTGAGATTTTATCTCTAGTGGTCTTCTCTTTTTCTTTTCTTTTCTTTCCATAGCTTATTGTACGTCCTTGACTCTCTCGTTTCAGACCTTCAGTGTCCAGCAGCTCGCTGTCTTCTAAGCTCACTTCCAAGCTAGCTCAAACCAACACCAATAATAGGCCATTGTTGTGTTCAAAATGTTTGCTGATAAGTGATAACTAATTAAATACCTAAGCTGCTCTAATACTAGTATTCAGTTACATAGCTCAGATTGAATCCACTCTCTACTTTATCCATACTTCCAGAGGAAGAAACTGAAAGGTAGTAGTGTTCTAGCAAGGATCCAATATAGCATCGTCGAACAAGTTGTTGTGAATTATGTCACCCGTTTCTTGGTACATGACACTTTACAATAGCATATCATCAACTCTCCACTGCCCTCCGTAATGCACTAATGCTGTCTCAGGAAAGTCCAATGAGAAGCAAACAACAAAAAGATTCCATGCACGTCACGATTAGCAAGCCCTGCTTAGCTTTCCGGCCGGCAAGACACAAAAAACACTAGCTAGCCTAGCAGCATATGCAGCGTCTAATTACACCACACGATCTCGTCGTCTTAATTTGCTGGTGAAATGGAACGTACAAGAAGAGATTCGATCAGAGGTAGACGAAGAGATGGCGCGTTTCGCGAGCTAGCTGGGCTGGACTGGATTCTTCTTTGGCTACATGATGCCCATGCTGTTAGCGTGCTGTAGGCGACGCCGCGTGGCGTCGACGACGTCGAGGGGATCGTCGGCGTCGCCGCCCTCGGTGACGACGGAGGAGACGTAGCTGCAGGCGACGTCGGAGCTCATGGCGGCCGGTAGTGGCGCCCCCGCCGCCGCGGCGCGGAACTTGTGGCGGCAGCTGAAGCAGGTGATCTGGAGCAGCGTGGCGTTGACCTGCCGCACGGCGTGGTCGCGGAGCGCGTGGGCGCGGCTCAGCTCCACCTGCGCCTGGTGCCGCATTCGCCTGGCGGTCGCCAGCTCCTGCTCGGCGAGCTCCACCTGCCGCCTCGCCTGCGCGCGGGCCTCGCCGGCCGCCTCCTTCTCCGCCATCGCCTGCCGCAGCTGCTCCCGCGCCTGCTCCTTCGCGGTGGCCGCGGCCGACGCCTCGTCGCTTGTCCCAGCCGCGCCCATGACCTCGTCACGGCCGATGGAGAGCTGCAGCTGCGTGGAGGCGTCGTTACACTGGGAGACACCCGTCGGGTGATGCTGATGCGCCGCCGCGTAGAAGCACGCCCCCATCCCGCCCGGAGCGGCGGCGGCGCCACCCGCGTTGAACGGCGGCATGAGCTGGAGCTCGAGGTTGTGCGCGCCAGCGCCCCCGCGGTAATGATCGTACGACGGCGGCGGCGGCGACGGCGCCATGTCGAACCGGCCGCGGAAGGCGGCGGCCTTGGGGCTCGGCATCGAGGGCGCCCCGGCCCCGGGCCAGGCGACGGGGCTGGCAACCACGTCGCTGGACGGGCTGGTGCTCGACGCGGTCCGCGACAGCGACGCCGCCGCCGGCGCCTGCAGGTCCAGCTGCTTCTCCTGCTCTAACACCGCTACGCCGCCGCACGCCGCCGTCGACACGTTCCCTCCCTCCGCCACCGCCGCCGCCTGCCCGCGGCTGGCATTGCACGTGTCCTGGTGCTCGATGAAGCTCTCCACCCTGCTCACATCAAACAAATCAAACAGCACATCAGTACGTACACAAACTCGAACGGGAAAGAACGCATCGACGAAGCCAACAACGGCGAGCGAGACAACGAGACCAGGGAGAGAGAGAGAGAGAGACTTTATTGTATGTGAGAAGATTTCAATCGATTTATGTCGCTGCCTGCACAGGGGTCCAAACTCCAAACTCCAAAACGATTATTTGGATCTACGTAACGTGAACGCCGGCCTGTGTTGCATGCGCGCGCAAAGTTGCCAAGCACGGAGAACGCCGCCCTTTGAGTTAGCTTAGCTTGTCAGGACTCAGGCGGCGTGCGAGCTAGTCTGCGCCACTCGGCGCCCTCTCCCGCGCATTGATGCCGCGCGCGGCAAAGGCAGGCGAGACACGCGCGGACGCGCGCGCCGAGCGAGCCAGCCAGAGACACGAGCGGAAGCAGCCGCGCGCTGCTGAAACAAATGCGCGAGCAGGTGGTGGACGCGCGCACTCGCTACTCGCTCACTCTGACGCAGAGCGTGGCGTTTCCCCTCGGGAATTGCGCACCGATCCGCCACAATCATGGCCCCGAAAAAACATCCCAAAAAGAGAGAGAGAAAACTTTGAAAAAAGCGAACCGAATCAAGAACTTGCAAACTACTAAAGAGAAGGAGAAGAAATAAAAAAACGTTTTTACGCGGTGGAAGAGTTGGGTTTACCGGGAGAAGACGCGGCCGCAGTCGCAGGAGTGGCCGCGGGTGCCGCAGGTCTTGAGGTGGGCCTTGTAGTCGGAGTGGACGGCGTAGGCCTTGGAGCAGCGGGCGCACGCCCACTGGCGGTGGCCGCTGTGCTTGCGGCGGAAGTGCTTCTTGATGCCGACGAGGTCGCCGAGCGCGTGGGACGGGTCGTGGTGGAGGCACGTCGGCTCCGGGCACACGAACACCCGCTTCCTCGCCGCCTCGCCGGCCTCCCGCTTCAGCAGTTTCCACGGCACCTTGTGCCGCCGCCGGTGCATCTGCAGGTTCTGGTCTCGCTGGAACCCCTGGTTGCAGATCTCGCACACGTACCGGTCCGACTCCAGCAGCGTCCTCGGCGACAGCGACACCACCTCCGCGTCCGGGTCTGCACCACCACCGCCGCCGCCGCCGCCGCCAAGCGCCGTTTGGTTCCATGCACCAGCAGCAACCAACGAAGAACGAACCCATCCATATCATTTTTACCATGGCCATTGCCGCGCCACACAATTGCATGCAACAAATCTATCCTGCCAACTACTACCAATAATAATTGGATGTACTCGCATGATGATATCTGGGGCGGCGCGTCTCGGCGCTTAGCTTAATTACCTGGCGTGCCGGCTGGCCGTCGCTTCTTCTTCGCCGAGCCGGCGGAGGCGGTGGCGATCTGCAGCGACCGGAACGGCTCCGGCGTGGTCGCCTCGTCCGGCGGCGGCCCGGCCGTCGTCGGGGCGCAAGAACCCAACATGGCGGCACAGGAAGAGGCAAAATAATCCCTCTTTTTTTTCCTGTTCTTGTCTGATCACAAACTCTCAGACGATGTGAACAGAATGCATTGCACTCGTTCGTTCTATATAGAGGACGATGAAGAACAACAAGAGATCGATAGGCAAAACAATAAACTGGAGGGAATGGGAGTACTATAATATACTACTCCTACCACCATGAGCTTGCAAGGAATCAACAAGATGTGAGAGAGGGAAGAAGGAAGAAAGGGTCTTGGAGTTGGCTTTTGTGGGCTGCTACAGAGACAACTCCAAAGGAGGAGAGAGAGAGAGAGAGAGAGAGGAAGCAGCTTTCCACCGGCTTTAGGTTTTAGCAGCTTTCTTTGGGGTTATATGGGGAGGAGGAGGGAAGGAGAGCTAGAGTTGGTAAGTACTTCTGAGGGTTGTGTCTTAATTGCCTTTCAGCTAGGACAGGAGGGACTGGCTGGCATGCATCTCAATAAATAAAGGCATTTTTGGAGCAAGGAAAAGGAGTTTACACAAACACACAATGATCCTATAGATATGGGTGAGGATAGATGGATGGATGGGTGCATAATGGATAGATGGTGTTTGGGTAGGAGGATTAGATGGAAGCTTGCAATTGTTGGCTAGCTAGCTAGGAGTAGCTATTACCAAGTCAGTATGCGCAAAACAACAAATGCTAGAAAGGAAAAAAAAAAGCAAAGAGAGAAAGTATACTAATACTCTGACATTGGACAATTGTTTGAGCCTTTGAGGTATCCTTTTCAAGGAAGAATCTGAGATGGCAAAACTAACTGCTACATCAGGTATTAAAGTCATGTTAAGTAGGTTAGATTTCAGCAAGAGAATTTAATCTCATACTAAATTACAAAATGAGGTAATTCCTTTGTGCAGCATGTGCAGTGTGCATCAGGAATTGTGTCTATAAAAGACGGTGTTGCCACAAGGAACTGTATCCCTGATAGTTTTATCTCCTGATATTTGTTAGTGAGATGAATTAAATAATTAATTTGGCTGTTTTGGTTCCACGAAAATGTACTAGTGCACTGTAAAGTACTTAAAAGTGGCCACTGTAAAATTGTTGCCACAAGGACTTTTAGGTGGGTAGATCCACGTGCATGGCTTGTACTAATAATATATGTGATTCATAGCGTATGTACCCCTACATACTCCTATTATAATTAAGTATTTATGTTCTTAAGGCCCTGATTTAATTAGTCTTTTTTCTCACATCGTGATTAGCACCAAGATTATGCTAACTGGATCTTTGTCATTCTCCTAGAAAGGATTCGGTCGAGCCTGGAAGGAGAATGATTGATTTTGGAAGCTTATTGTGCATTTGATTATTAATCGCCCTGTTTGTCTGATTAAGATAGCGTACTCAACGATGCCAGTTAAGTAGGAGTATGTTTCAGCTGCTAGGCTCCAAATGGAGTGTTTTCTAGATGTACGAGATAAAGGATGCATATGGCCAAGTACGTACTGTTTGATCGTAGTGGATCTAAAATATATTCATCGACATAGTCGTATATATATATAGAAAATACAACCGTATTCATAAACAAAATAGAAAAATGAGTTATGTTTTTAGAAAAATGAGTTATATATAAATACACACATATATACTGCTTTAACAAACATTAGTGGTAAAGCGAGTGGTGAATCTGCCACTGCCCCAACCAACTCTCTCTAATTTTTTGAAGGTAAAAAAATGAGATAAGTAAGTGATAGCAAAAACAGGTTGATGATGTCCCTTTTTCAAATTACGTCGCAACACACAGGTAATATATATTAGCTAGTATTTTCAAACATTTTCTGGCAACTGACTTTGTCTTTTACTAGTATTAAAGGAAGGTCTAGCCGGTAAAAAAAAAAGAGTTGTTTTTCTTTGGTCTTTACTGATAGCAGAATTAATCAATGTAAATTAATTATATTTTTTAATCTAGTGGAAATGTATTTGTACTACCACCTTAACTACTAGTAATGGAATATATTTTTGTGTGATAAAACTCATAAATCAATGTTTAAGTTCATTTCTACCGATAATAATGTTGGTAGTAGAATATTATCAGGAGAGAGTATCGGAACATTGTACAGATATAAAGAAGGTACATCTCTCCCTAGTTGAAGTTCTCCTCCAAGATAGTCCCTCCGTTTCAGGTTATAAGACGATTTGACTTTGGTCAAAGTCAAACTGTTTCAAGTTTAACTAAGTTTATAGACAAATATAGTAATATTTATAATACTAAATTTGTGTCATCAAATCAATAATTGAATATATTTTCATAATAAATTTGTCTTGGGTTGAAAATGTTACTACTTTTTTCTATAAACTTGGTCAAACTTAAAGCAATTTAACTTTGACCAAAATCAAAACGTCTTATAACCAGAAATGGATGGAGTAAAATTTCTAGCAACTCTCAGAGCCTTCTATATATAATAAGGCAACTTTAACTTAGCTACAATTATTTCATTATATTTATGTTCTCCAAGAGTCCAAGTATTGTTTCAACAAGTAGTAATTGTAGAAAATCTAATCTATAGATAATTTGTGGTGGCTAAATGATGCGGTGCCCCAGGAAGAATATGGAGATCTCATCTCCCCGGGGCGACACAAGAATCGAATGACATTGGTCTATAGGGCTTTGCTACCATGTAGAAAATCTAATCTATAGATAATTTGTGGTGGCTAATTGATGCGGTGCCCCAGGGAGATTATGGAGATCTCATAATAAAGGAGAGTCCAGAGATGACACAGAAGGTGACACAGGCAGCACCAGGTGGAGGATCGTCCATCAGATATGCAATCGATGATGGTGAGTCAACGAAGATGAAGGAATCTTTTGATGGACGATCCTCCACCTGATGCCTGCGTCATCTTCTGTGTCGTCCCTTGACTCTCCTTTATACCATGTGGAAAAATCTAATTGTTGTATTTTGGTGTTTTCTGATCTATTACATCGACCCTCTCATGGGGTATATATAAGAGTACATAGGGGATAGAGACTTAGAGTACAATACAAATAAGAGTAGATTTATCTCTAGGACTCTATCTTATCTCTAGGATTCTATCTCTATAATATATCTTATCTCTATAATTTGTTTTGACTCTTATCTCTAACTAACATATTTATAATTCTAGCAGTAATATGATATATATTAAATCATATGTGTATTATATTAACTGAAGCTTTGGGATAGAATGTGAGTGATGCCAGTGCAATGGATATGACCATAAATCGATCTAGCCAGGAAAAAAACATAAATAACAAAGTCGTCCCTAATTATTGTATTGGTAAATTGCTAGTTTACTCTTAATAACAAATTGTTGATATCATGAGCACCGGAGAATCACTCGTGTTAAAAAGATTTCAAGCCCTAGATTTCGCATCTGTCTCAGTCTTAAGATCAATGCATATGCATGCGTGTATGCAAAATTACGTGCATAAGTACGTTCGTTTATGTATGGTGGTGTACACGGTGAGTCTATGGACACATTGCATTTCACTCCAAAAGTAAAAGGAAAAACAAGAGCATCGAGTAGCCTTTTTCCCTATATGTACTTGCTCATCATGCATGTGTGACAGTGGAAAGGCCTGTTGAATTTCTAACTTAGTTTAGCTTTTAAATGATATGTAAAACGATATAAATTATTAGTACGTAAAAAATAAGTACTAATTATTACAAACTTTAATAATGGTATATTTGATTGTTAAAAGAAACTTATATATAATTTTTTTTTTAAAAAAATACAACATTTAACAGGTTGAAAAAAACAATGCTAACGGAAAACGAGAAAAATATAGTTTGGAGTCAAAAAAAAAAAGAACGAGGTCTAAGTCTAGTTAGCGATTTTAAAGACAAGATGTCCCTTTAATTCTTCAAGCAGGGAAGGAAATTAGAACCCAACTTAAAAGAGAGAATAGTAAAGTTGGTACAATTGCTATTGTCACCGACTACTATTGGTAACACAGCATATGCTTTTGAAAGTTTGGAAGTTCTTTCAGGATAGTCTTAATTGGAGTGTCTGTAATTTTGTTTGCTTCACTCTTGGATTCTTTCTCTTGTCGGCAACATACTACCATACTTGCACAGAGCAAGGGACTGAAAGTTTATACCCGTATGAACTACTACTTGTACAACGATCTGCAACATAGGTAACTCGTACAATAACTTCTGTCAGATCAACTAGAGACAATGGTTATTAAGACGGCCAGAGAATTATGAGGTTGCTGAGCTGCAGTGCCAGGTACAGTTGCCCCCAGAATATGCAGCTAACGTGTTCACGCATCTGCACATATATATTTCGTCGCATTTCGTTTCGGCAAAAATGATTTTCAGGACAGCAACGTTCCAACGTTTTATATATCGATATGCAACTTTTTTCAAGGATCTTAATGCAACCTTTAGTTATGGCAACATAAACTGGAAGGCTAATTGGCGTATCTTTCTTTGACAGAGATTGATTATATTTTCAGACTGGCACCGAAATTCAGAGATGGCACATGTTTTAATTTCAGTCAGTAGCCAGTACTAGCAGTTCACTGAAATGATTGCTGCTGCTACCAGTAGTACTCCTACACTAAAAGCTGCCTCGTCACAAGTAGAAGGAAACGAGACGGCCAAAAACTCGATGGCAAAAAAGAACTCATCAGCGATGCATACTTCGCGGTGAAAAGTTGCCGGTTGTGACGACGAGATCAGCAACTGCTCTCGCTGTAAAAGTCTGACTGGATTCATCAGAGTAGTGTGGTTTTGACTGCCTCTTCGTGTGTGACGTCTCATGGATTGACCATACAATACCTGTACTTGCAAAATCTACAGGGCCAGCTACACCCTGAAGCTGATCGATCGATCGATCCATGCAGCTGGCTAGTAGTAGCTACAGAAAGATGAAAAGATTGGTGAAAGTGTAGTGCAGAACAGTGGGTATAATCAGGAGCAAAACGGCAAGCATGTCAAGCCGTGTCCCAGTGTATTCTACTATACTACTGTCTGGCAGGCACACTGCTGTGTGGAGCTGTGGAAATGAGGACAAATGTTAGACTGTGGCGCCATTATTTTTCATGCTTTATAACTGCACACGGACAGGAAGGCGATGAAGCTATTGGCCTTTGGGAGAGATGGATACAAGGGAGAAAAACAATGGAAGGATCGGTGAGCCATAATCTCATCATCCAGCCGAGAGACATCTCGTTGTGGGCTTGTGGCTCTCTGAAACTGACCGAACGGCGCACAAAAGTGGCTAATCTTAAGCTCGGCACCGTGCCCACACCAATGCCCAATGTCTCTGCATGCATCTGAATGGTTGTATATACAGCTAGCTATTGTATCTGAAGAAATAAAGTTTTCTTGGGTGATCAACATACTGACGACCATTGCGGTTTAAGAAAAGCTACTAGTAATCCTTGGTACTACTATGCTTTATACGTACAGATCGAGACCAAGAA